TTCATTTGGTTCTCCATAAATTTAAGCCGAAATTTCAATTCTAGTTTTTGGATTTATTTAATCAAAAAATGTTCATCTTGTTTCATCAAATTTAAGGTAAGTTTGTGCTTTCGTTCCTTTTTAAAAGTCCAAAATTTTCTGAAAACTAAAAAGTGAATGCGCCGTCGACAAAAGTTCATTTTTTTCAATACGCGTTTTGGTAGAAGAGTGTCAGTTCAATATTTATGAGATCTGTGTCTTCGCATTTAACTTCATTTCATTTCTCTCTAATTTGTTTCGATTTATTTTCTATTTATTCTTTTTTCGTGTTCTTTAAGGCATTTGCATTCATTCTCATATCGTTTTCATTGCTACTCAATTCGAAATAGTGATTCATACCATAGTATGGAGGGTATATTAAGTTTGTCATTCCAATTGTTACACCTCGAAATAAAAATTTTAGACCCCACAAAGATCAGCATAAAATTCTATGTCGATTTAGTGATGTCCGTCCTATTATATAACTGTACCGATAGATATTCGGTATTTTGATGATTTTAGGGACATTATTCACCGGAACTGTTTCATATTTGGTATTTGATGTTCGTAATGGATACTACAGCCTATGAGTGAACGGTACCTCCCAATATTTGGTAATTTGATGATTTTAGAGACATTATTCACCGGAATTTTTTCAAATTTGGTTTTTGAAGTTCGTGATGGATACTACATCCGATGACAGGATATTGTCTGTGCAGTCCATGTTTTGGTATAACACCCATATAATAGTACCTGTAGTGTGCGCCTATTAAATTGGTAACCATGAAAATAATTGATAACAAAAAGAAGAAGAATTTTGCCAACCATTATAATAAATCAGCTGATTATTCCAATTACCTAAATGTCAATAAGGGGAGAAATTAAAAAAAAATGGAAAAATTAAATCAAGAAAATGGCAACCAGAATTTTCTGGCAAAAATTATCAGAAAAATCTTTTCTTCTTACTTTACCTGTGAAGAAGATTGGACGTGTGGCTCCGACTAACAGAAGGAAGAAAATGTACAAAGTTTTTGTGATATTAACTTGATCGAAAATTTAATTCAACTATTCATTTATTTTGTTGAAACAAAGAAAACAACACAAAATACAAACATTTTTAAGCTGAATTTTAATAAAACAAATATTTTCCCTGAAGTTCATAAAAAAAGTTTTATCTTAACTAATCTATTCCTAAAACGAAATAGAAGTTAACAGAAGAACAAGCCTTAAATACATACCAGAAACAAAAAAATCTTAAAGATGCATATCCAGACCAGGAGGTTTGAAGTCAACGAGCCACACCATCGCCCGCCCAATCCATCGAAGGAGGGTCAGATTTTACGCCATTGCTGCTCCATCGTGGCTTGGTATCTTTCCCAATTGACAGTGCTGGTTAATGAACTCCGGACAGACAGACGGACGACAAAGCACAATAATTAAATTCTGCGATTTTTATGAAAAGAAACAAATATATTAGAAGGGTGAACAAACGATTTTTCTTACCTTGTGTTGGTATGTAGGTGAGCTCATTTCGAGGTAAGGTTACCAGGCTTTAGTTAGATCGTCGATTTAATGTGGTATCGACGTGCCTTCTTTGTTATTAATGTTCTGATCCAGGAATGTAATTAAAAGGCTAAAACACTAACTATACGTACATACTTACGTTTTTGTAAGAATTCCAGTCACTAGCTGCCGTCAGTATTCCACACTCTTGTTGACCGCCTAAAAAGAGAAGAAGGAATGATTACTTTTCGAAATTAATTTTGGAATATTTGCAAATTTTTATCCCTGAAATTTTTTCTTATGATTCATTGTAAATTAAATTTTAAATTTCGATTCGAAATATGAATGAAGTTGTATCTTTGCCCGAATATGTAAAATAGCTTAAAAACTTTAAACTTTATACGCGTTTTGGTGGAAGAGTGTTTTGGTGGAAGAGTGTTCAATATTTAAGAGATCTGTGTCTTCGCAATTAACTTGATTTGATTTGTGATCAGCTGTCTTGAAGAACAAGTAGAAACAACGTTTTGTTTTTCGTGTTCTCATTGTTCTCATTCTTGTCGTGTGTTGTGATATTGTAGTGAGTGTTTGTTGTTGTTTCTTTGGTTCTTCCTATTCCATTTCATTAATAGGGTTTTCCAATTCGACGTCAACCTTAGCTCTGAACTAAATGTAGGGATCGCCAAGTCGATTTTGGTATTCATTGAACCGACAATATATATATAGAGTCCTCTAACTAATAGTGGTTTCAGTCAAGTGTGGCCCAGCCTTTACGATACTACGAAATTAAGCGATATCTTGAAAACTGCAGCTTAAAGTATTGTTCAATCTCTCATCTGTTCACTTATAATCTGCACAAAGTTTAAGACGTATCCAGAGAGGCATTAAATCATACATTTCTCTTCTGAAGACCTACGAAATTGATGTGGCTAGCTGGGATCGCATTTTCATCTATCTCTTTTCCAACCGTCTAACTGATTCCACGCTTACTCTGTGGAAGCATACTCTCTCGGACAAGTCCAGTATTCCACGACGGGCGGAATTGGACACCCCCCTAACACCTGTCCAAGCGAGGCTCACATAATTCGCAAATATCCGATGTTCTTAAAGATGAATTATGATGCTCGCATTTCTGAGATCAAACGGCATGGTCTGTGTCTCAACTGCTTTTCAAAAACACAATCCGTAAAAAATTGTCCTAGCAAACATCGCTGTCATACATGGAATGAGCGCCATAATACTCTTCTGCATAGAAACTCTGTTCAGTCTTCTTCCTCTTCAGCGCCATCTTCATTTAGCACTGCTTCGAATTCAAACCTCAATCGCAAATCCGCTACATTTTCACATTCTCCCCAGTTAAAGGAGGAATATTATCGAGTCGTTCAGGAATACTGTGATCTAGGCAATTTGAACTTTATTCCCCATACCAACGTTTCATCGGTCCTACTTATTATTTAACTCACCATGCCGTCATCAAACCTGAGAGCGTATCTACAAAGTTTCGAGTAGTATTTAATGCCTCCTCTCCTTCTTCCGGCGGGTTAAATGTAGCCAGTTGGTTATCTCCGGTTATAATTGCAAACATAGCTGTTATACATGGAATAAGCGTCATAGTACTCTTCTGCATAGAAACTCTGTTTAGTCCTCTTCCTCTTCAGCACCATCTTCATTTAGCACTGCTTCGAATTCAAACCTCAATTGCAAATCCGCTACATTTTAACATTCTCCCGAATTAAAGGAAGAATATTATCGAGTCGTTCGGGAATACTGCGATCTAGGCCATTTGCGTTTTATTCACCATTCCAACGTTTCATCCGGTTCTATTTATTATTTACCTCACCATGCCGTCATCAAACCTGAAAGCGTATCTACAAAGTTTCGAGTAGTATTTAATGCCCCCTCCCCTTCTCCCGGCGGGTTAAGTGTAGCCGGTTGGTTATCTCCTTGTGTGGTTTTGGCAAAAAAATATGATCCAGAACATTTGGGACTCTGGATGGGATGATTTATTGTCTCATGATATCGTTTCCGATATCACCATATTCTGCTGGACGGAATCCACTATTGTTCTTTCGTGATTAGCTAAACCACCTCGTTTCTGATAAACTTTCGTGACGAATAGAGTTTCCAACATTACTCAAGTTGTTGATTCATTCAAATTACGTCATGTTTCTTCTGAGACAAATCCAGCAGACCTGGTGGAAATAAAAAAAAATGGAAAGATTAAATCAAGAAAATGACAACCAGAATTTTCTGTCAAAAATTGTCAGAAAAATCTTTCCTTTTTTACTTTACCTGTGAAGAAGCTTGGACGTGTGCCTCCGACTAAAAGAAAAAAGAAAAATGTACAAATTTTTGGTAATATTAACTTGAGCGAAAATTGAATTCGACTATTCCTTTATTTTGTTGAAACAAAGAAAACAACACAAAATACAAACATTTTTAAGCTGAATTTTAATAAAACAAATATTTTCCCTGAAGTTCATAAAGACAGTTTTATCTCAACCAATCTATTCCTAAAACTAAATAGAAGTTAACAGCAGAACAAGCCTTAAATAAATACCAGAAACAAAAAAATCTTAAAAATACACATCCAGACCAGGAGATTTGAAATCAACGAGCCACACCATCGCCCGCCCATTCCATCGAGGGAGTGGCAGATTTTACGCCATTGTTGCTCCATAGTGGCTTGGTATCTTTCCCAATTGACACTACTGGTTAATGAACTCCGGACAGACAGACGGACGACAAAGCAAAATAATTAAATTATGCGGATTTTATGAAAATAAACAAATATATAAGAAGGGTGAACAAACGAGTTTTGATTCAAATTTTTCTTACATTGTGTTGGTATGCAGGTACGTGACGTTGAACTGGGCTCAATTCAAGGTAAGGTTACCAGGCTTTAGTTAGAACGTCGATTTAATGTGGTATCGACGTTCCTTCTTTGTTCTATTCAAATGTGCTGTAATTTGGAATTTGCTATGTTTAGAAGATCGTGCTGTGTGGCATTTAGTTTTGTCTACCTCATAATTGAGTGCAGAATGATTTCAGAATAGTCAATTTAATTACTCCCATATACCCATTACCATAGCATTTCCAATCGTGCGCTGGAGTACCCATAAAGTCTTTGATCATAGTCAATTTCAATGATTTTATTTTTTTCAATGACTTTATTTTTTTCAATACGCGTTTTGGTGGAAGAATGTCCGCGTCAGTTCAATATTTAAGAGATCTGTGTTTTCGCATTTAACTTGATAAATGTCAATTAGGGGGAGGGGGGGTTTTGGGTTGAATTAAAAAAAGGAAAAATTAAATCAAGAAAATGGCAAACAGAATTTCCTGGCAATAATTGTCAGAAAAAAACTTTCCTTTCTTACTTTACCTGTGAAGATTGGACGTGTGCCTCCGACTAACAGAAAGAAGAAAAATGTACAAAGTTTTTGGTGATATCGAATTCAATTTTTCATTTTCAAAAAAAAAAAAAAAAAAAAAAAACACAAAATACTAAAAATCTTTGTATTTTAATAAAACAAATAATGTGTTCTCGGAGAGAGGGCTATCTCTGGTTGGTCAGCCGCTAGGAGTGCTGTTTCTATAGGAACTACTATTTTGTACTATCTGGCGCGGTCCCCGTTAGCTGCCCGTTAACTTAGTCTTTAATGCATTTTTTTAAGCACAATTATTCACAGATCTGGCTCAACGGTTTATAATAGCCCCATGTAAGAGCTTAGCTAAATTTTTAGTATTGTAGAGAACTTAACAACATTTTCTGTTCAAATGTGCTGTAATTTGGAATTTGCTATGTTTATGATCGTGCTGTGTGGTATTTAGTTTTGTCTACTTCATAATTGAGTACAGAATGATTTCAGAATAGTCAAAGTTAATTACACCCATAAATCCATTACCATAGCATTTCTTTTCACAACACAAACAAATTCTGCTTGTTTTTTATTTGTTTCTCTTTTTCCAACTCAATCCGAAATCCTTCTGGAAGAAATATTGTGCTTTCAACAAAATTTCTTTGGATCGGTTTCTAAGCGTTTAACTTCTACAAGAAAATTACCGACGACTCCCAAGTATTTTATGTTGGTCCTCAACGAACCGGATACAAGTTTAAGGCGAAAATTCAATGCCTGTTTTTGGATCTATTTAATCAAAAAAATGTTCATCTTATTTCATCAAATTAAATATAAAAGTAAATTCGCCGTCGACAAAACTTTTATTTTTTAATACGCGTTCTGTGTCTTCGCATTTAACTTGATTTGATATCTATTTAATTTCTTTCGATTTAAGAGCATTTTATTTCTTCTATTTTGGGGTTTTAAGGCTTCGCATTCATTCTCATATCTCTTTCATTGCTACTCAATTCGAAATCTCCCTTCATTTGTATTTGTGATCAGTTTTCTTGAGGAACAAGTGGCAACAACAATATACCATATCCATAGTATGAAGGGTATATTAAGTTTGTCATTCCAATTGTTACACCTCGAAATATACATTTAGATCCCACAAAGTACATATTTTCTTGACCAGCATAAAATTGTCTGTCGATTTAGTGATGTCCGTCCTACTATATAATGGTACCTCTAGATATTCGGTATTTTGATGAGTTTAGCGACATTATTCTTAATGGATACTACATCCTATATATCATAAAGACAGTTTTATCTCAACCAATCTATTCCTAAAACTAAATAGAAGTTAACAGCAGAACAAGCCTTAAATAAATACCAGAAACAAAAAAAATCTTAAAAATACACATCCAGACCAGGAGATTTGAAATCAACGAGCCACACCATCGCCCGCCCATTCCATCGAGGGAGTGGCAGATTTTACGCCATTGTTGCTCCATCATGGCTTGGTATCTTTCTCAATTGACACTGCTGTTTATTGAACTCCGGACTGCGGTTTTTATGAAAAGAAAGAAATATATTAGAGGGGTGTACAAACGAGTTTGGATTCAAATTTTTCTTACCTTGTGTTGGTATGCAGGTACGCGCCGTTGAACTGAGCTCAATTCAAGGTAAGGTTACCAAGCTTTAGTTAGATCGTCGGTTTAATGTGACGTACCTTCTTTGTTTGTCCTAATCTGAGATTGGAAAAAAATATTCTTTGTTCGTCCTAATCTGAAATTAAAAAAAAAATATTATTAATGTTCTGACCCAGGAATATAATTAAAAAGCTAAAGCACAAACTATACGTACATACTTACGTTTTGGTAAGAACTTTAGTCACTAGCTGCCGTCAGTGTTCCACACTCTTGGTGCCAGCCTAAAAAGAGAAGAAGGAATGATTACTTTTCAAAATTAATTCTGGCTTGATGACCTTGTTCCTTCTTTTCATTTTATCGCAAATAGCTGTGGCTTGCGCGGAAGACTTGAACATGCTATCGAATGTGACCCCAAGCATTTTGGGGTAGTTGGTGGTCGGAATTATGTGTCCCTCGACCTGCACATTCAGCATTGTTCTCATCTCCGCAGTCCATGTAATAAATAGTGTGGCCGTCGATTTAGTGGTGGATATTTTCATATTTCTCGTATGGAAGAAGGCGGCAAACTAGTTATTCACCCTGACACATATGTCATCAACTACAGGACCCGACGCCATGATCGAACAATCATCGAACATCTACGACTGGCGTCCATATATATAGTTGATTATCCAACGTTTCAAACTTGGACGAAGGGTAGTTCTCCACACGTCCTCAAACAGTATGGCCTGATTGACCGTATCAAATGCCTTTGATAGGTCGAGAGCTACCACTACTGTTCTATGGCACGACCTGTTCTGGTTGAGTCCTTGACTGATATGTGTGGATATGGCGTGCAATGCTGTTGTAGTGCTATGTAGTGAACGGCAACCGTGTTTATGGTTAACAACTGAATAGCTTCCTCTCATAGAGACACTCAACCTGTTAGCCAATACTTACCTTCCGAACTGCTCCGATGCGGTAAATGATAAATTGTTAGATCGGTCTAGTCAGTGAAGGATGTTAGTCTGACTGAGAGGATCATAAGCGCTCCCAAAATCTTGTGGGCTATTAATTTATTCAAGCCTTTCAAGTCACCGGGACCAGATGGCATTATTCCCGCCATGCTGCAGCATGCATCGACGGTGATATTACCAATTCTGGAGGCAATTTTTAAAGTTTTTCTGCGTCTTTCTCACAATCCATTATTATGGAGAGAAGTTACAGTCACTTACATTCCCAAGGCTGGGAAACCAAGTCATGTGCTTCCAAAAGATTACAGACCTATTAGTCTCTCATCATTTCTATTGAAAACGCTGGAGAGACTACTAGACATTGAGATTAGATCTATGATATCCCTGACCTCGTTGAGCACATCTCAACATGCCTATATGAAAGGCAGATCTATTGAATCAGCGCAACACGAGGTCGTGGGTTGTATAGAGAAAAGTCTAAACAACTCGTGTTTCACTTTGGTAGCCTTTCTCGATATTGAGGGAGCCTTCAATAATACAATTCACAGTTCCCTAGTGGAACTTAGTATACCACCACTCCTAATTGATTGGATTGATGCCATGCTCAGCAGCAGAATCATCAACTCAAGCATCGGGGAGTGTTATGTCAGGAAATCTGTTACTAGGGGCACCCCGCAAGGTAGGGTTCTATCACCACTACTCTGGCTTTTGGTGATAAACAAAATTCTAATCGACCTGGAATAAGGTAGGACAAAGGTCGTGGCTTACGTCGATGATGTTGTCTTGCTGATTGCTGGGAAATTTCCCCAGACTGTTTCAGATCTTATGCAGGGAGCTCTAGTTAAACTCTCAAGATGGGCACGCTTCAATGGACTTGGCGTGAATCCATCAAAAACTGAGCTGGTACTTTTCACAAAGAAGCGGAAAATGCCGGTTTTTTCGCTGCCTATCCTTGATGATGTTCTGCTAAGCCTTTCCTCGGAAGCCAAATACCTCGGTACCATCCTAGACCGGAAGCTAAACTGGAAGAGGAACATCGAAGAGCGAGAGAAGAAGGGCTTAATTGCACTCTATTCTTGCAAAAACTCCATAGGAAAAAGCTGGGGTCCCAAGCCACACAATCAAATGGTTATATGAGTCTGTCGTCCGACCAATTCTAACCTACGGGGGGCTTGTATGGTGGCATTCCTTAGGGAAAACCACCTTCAGGAAAAGCATTGATAAAGTCCAAAGAGTTGCATCGCTACTAATTACAGGCGCGTTTAGGAGAACACACCCCAATCCGCACTAGACACCCTACTCAATTTGAAACCATTAGGTTTACTCGTAGAGGAACAAGCTGCTAGGTGTGCCCTGCGGCTCAATGAGCTGGATCAATGGCGGGGTCAGCCATTCGGACACTCCGCCATTATCAAATTTATGGATAGTATAGTAAATCAGGCTATAACTAGTGACTATATATCACCTATTCACATACCTCGCAGAGACATTTGGACTCGTGATACTCCACCTTTTAACGGTATATCTGTTTATACTGATGGATCAAAGATGGAAAGTGGAACGAGGGCCGGAGTCTACTGTGAAAGTCTAAATATCCGACGATCCTTCAAATTAAACAACGACTGTAGTGTTTATCAGGCAGAAATTTTCGCTGTCAGGAAGGCCATAGATTTGCTGGCAAATAGAGTCAATGAACTGGACGGACCGGTGACTATATCTATCGATAGTCAAGCGGCCCTGAAGGCCTTGAACACTTTTACAATTAAATCTAAGGCGGTTCTGGATTGCAGGAATGCTCTGGAAAAGACTAATTCGTTTATTAAACTCTGTTGGGTCCCTGGACATTGTAACATACCTGGAAATGAATCTGCTGACGAATTGGCCAGGCGTCCGTTGATCTAGAGGTTGAGAGCTCAGTGAAACCACCCTTATGTCACTTTTTCCAAATTCTGCAAAAGCATTATTATGTGAAATTTCAACAAAACTGGCTATCTGGAAGGTGATGTAATGTCTCCAACAAGATCTGGCCGGTGATCTCCGAAAGGAGGTCTAAGTCACTTTCCATTCTCTATACAATTTCGTACTTACTTCTTTATTTCTTCACAGAGAGCTATTTTATTTCTTCTCCTATCTTTAGTCTACTTTTATCTCTTCCTATTCAGAATGAACACAATGGACCAAAAGGACTCCGAGTGAAGTGGTTGTATTTCTTACAACCACGCATCCTTTAACCTAACCTCACCTAACCTAGCAATACATCTATAGTTATCTATGAAACGTCTATTGCCTGATTTATGGAGTGGAATAACGAAGCTCGATCTCCAGAAGCTTGGAAAATAACCTATTTTCAAGGAGTAATTAAATATTTTAGTCAAAGGTTAGTATAATTCTTGCATTTTATGAAAATAATAATTATTAAACATTTTGACCCCCTTTGTGGGAGAGATGCTATTATGTTGTTTAAATATGTTCTTTGAAATTTGATTATATGCATAAAAAGACGAAGAACATGGACGATTGTTTGGATGGCCTGAATATCAGGATTGGCAAATTAAGTCGTAAAATAAGGATGGGATTAGACTTTGATTGTGGGTGGGTTACTATTGTTATATTAATGTGAGATTAGCTAAATCACACTCCATTCCAACATCTTCGCCTCTTCCTTGGGTACATTAAAAAAAAGGTTGTTGGTCCTTCACTATACTTTTACCAACCAAACTAAACCAACTAAAGCTAAAAATATGAGGTGTTATATACTTCGTTCGTTTTTAAGCTTTATCACAACATTTCAATTTTAATATTTTTTACTTTTTTTCTATGAAATTTGAATTTACCATGGTAGAAGAATATAGGTACATGCATCAACGCTAGGGAACATTGATATATCAAAAATTTTAAAATGTTTTTTATTAAAAATAAATAGATTTTTAAATGTTTTCTTATACGATGCAAATCGGAGGTTGTTATAATATGAATTTTTCAAAAACATTTGTAATTTTCAATATTTAAAAAAAAAAAAAAAAAACATTTTTAATTCCAAAGTCAATTTGGCATTTCATTGTCCCAGCAGCGACTACCTGTATTTTTTACCACGGAATTTACGTTAAGTATTTGTACCGTGAATTTAAATTGCAAAAGTTTGACATATGCCTACAGCTGGCTTGATAAGGCTACCTTGTGAATAAATACGCGTCCGCACGCGCATTTATTTAGGCAAGGGCCTGTAAACAGTGCTTTTTCTCGGCAACTCGGTAGAGGAGTGGTCAAATATCTTTTATGTGTAATTACTCATACCGATAGCAAACTTCCTAATCGTGTAGACGGCCCAGAGTCCGCGATTACATTATTTTTATCTTTTTAGTAAAATGGCTGAAACCTTTACATTTGGAGGAACATTAACACCAATCACTTGTCATGCATGGAATAAAGAACGAAATCGTAAGTTTTATATCGATTCACTATGGAAACTTCTTACTTTTCTATTCTATAGAAATAGCAATATCCCCAAACAATAATGAAATCCACATATATAAAAGGAATAATAATGAATGGAAAATTGTCGACATACTTAATCAACATGATTTGAGGGTAATGGGAATAGATTGGGCGGAGAACACCAATCGTATCGTCAGCTGTGCTGCAGACAGAAATGCATACGTTTGGAAGCAAGGAGAGGATGGTAAATGGAAGCCTACGTTAGTTCTATTGCGTATCAACAGGGCTGCTACTTGCGTTAAGTGGTCACCCGCGGAAAACAAATTTGCTGTGGGATCTGGTGCACGTCTTATTTCGGTTTGTTACTTCGAATCCGAAAATGATTGGTGGGTTTCCAAGCATATTAAGAAACCTATAAGATCAACCATCACAACACTCGATTGGCATCCAAATAATATACTATTGGCGGCAGGCTCAACAGATTATAAGGTAGTCGATGTGTTTTCAGTTTTCAGAAACTTACATGATTTCTTGCAGGTGCGCATTTTTTCAGCATATATAAAAGACATAGAAGAACAACCATCGCCAACACCTTGGGGAAACCGAATGCCGTTGGGAAATTTAATGGCCGAGTTTAAAAATTCAAGCACATATGGCGGCGGTTGGATAAATGATGTTAGATTTTCTAGCGATGGAAACAAAATATGTTGGGTGAGCCATGACAGTTGTATAAATGTTGCTGATGCAGCTAGTTCGAATACAATTATAAGGTGCAAAACTGAGTTCCTTCCGTTCTTGGCTTGCGAATGGATATCACTCACATCTATAATAGTAGCTGGCCATAGCTGTGTACCTCTTGTGTATACGTTGCAGGGTGAGAAGCTCGTACTTTCAAATAAACTCGATAAGTCTCAAAAGAAGGAGAGTGGAGGTATATCTGCAATGAGGATTTTCCAATCTTTAGACAGAAATTTGCGTACGGAAAACTCAGATACTCTTGTTGACTCCATCCATCAAAATGCCATTACTTGCATACGCCTTTATGCAGGCGACAAATTGAATAGTTCTCGAGTTAGCACATCGGGAATAGACGGTCAATTGGTAATTTGGGATATAGATTCAAACATCAATAGCTTAATGCAGGCTCTGAAAATGTAAATTAATTTGTTCATCATAGGTACATGGGTAATATCAAGGCCTATTTACATAATAGGCAAATTTAGGCCTCAGTCTTCTCTTGCTGTCAAAAGTTTTTCAACGTGAAATTTATCAAAAAATAAAGTATAAAATATTTCACTCATTTTACTTTTCATGTTTCTGCATTCCTTTTTAGGACAAAAATCAGCAATATATTTCATATAATTTTAATTATAGACCTGAGTGTTGACAGTTATACCAGACAACCGTTGGCCTTACCGTGTAGCCTTGTGAATACACATTTTCTAATATATTATTTTTAACGTAATAAAGTAACCTTAACGCGTATATAGCTTCCAAAATTGGACATGTATTTGGTAACTTAATCTAAATTCAAATTGATGGTATGGAGGGCGGTACTTAAGGCTTCTTCCTAAAGACATACGCAAAATTCGTCATATGGGAAGCTGTTAAGTTTCAAAATTGTTACCACAGGTAGGTATTTTTACCCCGAATACGACAAAAAATTTATATCGTGGGATAAATATCGGGTTACCCTGTTACTTAACCAGGTATCGGATAAAAAATTCCGGTTTCACTGAACTGATTTATACAATTGCTACTCATACCAGAGCCTGCAATATTCAACCTTATTCTACATGGTCTTTCCTAGCGTGCCTGGGCGGAGGTTGCCTATCCACAAGATGGTGATTTGGATGGCTTTGTTTATAACACCCAAGCAGGTATTGCATTGACAGCTTTTTGTTATGCTGTCGCACCGGTAAGACCTTCGCCTCCTCATGTAGGTGATCTCGATCATGAGAAGGCACCCTGTTGCGGTTCTAAGGGCGGCATTCTGGCAGAACTGCACATTTTTCCACTGCGTAGCACTGACGTTGGCGGACCACACCGGAGCCGCATAGTTTACCACAGACCGGCCTATCGCGTTGTAAGAGGTCAACAAGGTTTCCTTATCAGCTTCCCAAGTACTGCCGGCCAGAGACTTGAGAACCTTGTTCCTACTTCTAATCTTGTCGCAGATAGATGTGGTATGCGCGGACGACTTAAAAAGGCTATCGAATGTGACCCCTAATACCTTGGGGTAGTTGGTGGTCGGAATAATTGCGCCATCGACCTGCACATTCAAGGATAGCCCCATCTCCGCAGTCCATGTGGTGAAAAGTGTGGCCGTCGACTTGGTGGCGGATATCTTCATATTCCTTGCAGGGAAAAAGGCGGTAAGATCAACAAGGTAAGTGTTTAACCGATAGTAAATGTCATCAGTAATGGGTCTGGACGCCACGAGCGTACAATCATCTGCGTACGTTATAATCTCTATGCCGTCTGGAGGGCGTGGAATATCAGAAAGGTAGAGGTTAAACAGTTCCGGAGATATCAACCCACCTTGGGGAACTCCGTTTAACTCTACGGAAGCTCGACTTCTTGTTTCTGAATTCCACGTACGACTGGCGTCCACATGTTTGGAAATGGCGTGTAAAGCTGTCGTTGTGCTATGCTATTTCCGGAATCCGTGTTGATGATCGGCTACTGGGAAACACTCTCTTATGCTGGGGAGGAGTAAAGCCTCAAGCGTCTTTGCTACTGGTGACAAAAGTGATATCGGCCTGTATGAATCACTTTTGCTGGCTTCAGTAGCGGGACCACCCTGCCCATTTTCCAGGCATCAGGAACTACTAGGGTGGCTAACGACAAATTGAGAAGCTTTGTAAGATACTCAACTCCTGGTTCATCCAGTTGCTTCAACATCACCATTGAGATTCCGTCAGGACCAAGCGCTTTGGATGACTTTGCGCTTCTGATGACCTGTGCAACATCTGCCAACGTAAATTGTGGTGCCTCCTCGGCTGGATGGGATCGTACACGGCGTAGGATCCTTCTCTTCGCCCTGTCACTCTCGGGGTGCTCTACAAACTGCCGGTTAAAATAACACGCGCACCTCTTCGGATCTGTCACTTCTACGCCGTTGAATGAGACAGATGTCCGATCGTCCTTTTTCCCAGGGTTCGAGAGCGACTTAACCGTTGCCCACAATTTACTCGTTCCGGTACCGATGTTGCAATGCTTCAGATGTTCTAACCACTTTTTCCGCTTATGCTCGCCTACTAACCTGTTTACCTCCAGAGTAAGTTCCCAGACTCTGGGGTTATTAGGGTTAGTACGGCGAAGCTCATCTCGCTCGTTTGCTAATCCCGCTGCATCTGCTGGGAAATTTGGTCTTATTTCAGGTATTCGACCAGCAGGTATATAGCGAGCGGCTGCAGCTTTGATGATGTCCCGGAAACACCTATCCGCTACCTGAACATCAGATGGTTGGGCAGTTCTTTGAAGCGGCGATTGGTATACTCTCTGAATTCTTGCCAATTAGCTTTCCCGTGGTTAAGGAAAGTGAGGCGTTCAGAGTCAATGAAGTCGGGTGGTCTGTTGATGGCGATAATAATGAGGAGGTGGTCTGAGCCTAGAGAAATGACTGATTGCCAAGTTACGTCATTCGTCAGACCTGGGGACACGATGGATATGTCCGGAGAACTGTGGCAACCTCCCCTTATTCTGGTGGGCGCGTCCTCATTCACTGTGCAAAACGTGGAGCTATCAATTTGCTCAGCCAGCGCCATGCCTCTCTGGTCATTACCTAGGACGGAATGCCATAATTCATGATGGGCATTGAAATCCCCTAGCACCAGACGGTTATTGCCTACCAGTAGTGAACTGATATTAGGCATATAACGTGGGGCACAGCTATTTAACGGCGGAATGTACACGTTGAGCACCTCTACCTCGGCGGTTCCACACTTGACCGCTACCCCCATACATTCCATGTACGGGTCACTAGAGTCAAGCTCAGGCGAGATAGGTCTGTACTGGACAGAGTGGTGCAATAGGAACGCTAATCCTCCACCTCTGGAACGATCCTTCCTCAGTACGTTGTATCCATCACAACTTTGAAGCCTGCAGGTGGTACTCAGCTTCGTTTCCTGGATCGCTGCGACCTTGATGTTCTTCCGACTCATAAAGCTTACAATTTCGTTGATCTTACCTCTGAGACCATCACAATTAAATTGGAGAAATGATGCATTGTCCGGAACCTGAACAGCAATGTGTGGCGTCAACTGCTGCGTAGATTGCTGTTGAGGAGATTGCGGGGGAGTTTGCGACGACGATGAGGACGCCGAAGATGAAGACTCACTGGAGTCTACATTGACGCAGCAGGAAGCAATCTAGTCCCTATCGCTATACTCCTGTATCCGGTTTAGGCCGGAACAATTTCGGAAATGCACCCACTCCATGCATCCGTTGCATCTCACCGAAACCGATCTGTGGTGGATGCGATTACGACAAACGGAGCAGAACCATGGTCCGGGGTTGGTCTCGATCTCGGCTCGGACCAAGAGAATACGGAGCAAACATTCTGGGTAATGTTGCTCCCACATCAGAAAAATGGATGAACACGAACATGTATTTGCTGGGTTGGCGGCCCCTGGTCGGAGAAATATGCCTCCGAGTCAATCCGGTACATAGAACCGGCCGCCGTGGGATTGCATGTCTACATGTCGACGCCGACACCGCCGCTTTATGATTCAGAATTAGGGTTTAAAAACCAGCACCCATCCAAATTACTATTAGCCTTACATTGAAACTGCTATTGAATATTTGCAGCTATGGCTAAAGATGCACATGATCATCTATTTAGCTGTGAGTGCTGCTGCTTAGCTCGTTTTTAACATTCTAGTTGTTTAGCAACTAGATGTGAAGCAACAAAAGGTGTGTCTGGTTACCCTAAAATTTGTAACAATTGTTACAAATTGTTACTGGAAGTCGTCTGTTATCCCGAAAGTTTGTCATTCATCGACATTCAATCAGATGATTTCTATTGTTTGTTTATTTCTTTTTGTGCTTTCAATTTGAAAATATTTTTTTTGGAATTAGCAAGACTAATTGTTTTTGGAGAATAACTTGACAAAATGTGAAAAACTTAAATATTAATATGTAATAAAAAAATAGAAGAATATTTCCAACATTTTTAGACAAATGCCATTAGCAACACGTATAAAGGATTAAGAGGAACACATCGTTAGAGCTAATAGCTGACGATTTTAAAAACGTATTAGCTCTCCTAGATTTTTGTGTTTGTAATTTGTTGCTACTTGTTGGAGTAGCTCATTGATAAGCTGAAATTTTTTGGGGGCTATTGCTAAATTGGCGTTACATTTGAAACCCTGTTCAGAAACGTTTTTCCCGGTAAAAATTCTGCAACATTTAAACTAATGCACATTTTCTATACTTTTTCATCTCGACAGTTAACACAATCAGCTTTCAGCTGAATCAAAAACTATCAAATTCAGTTCTGTAGTTGCACAGAATTCAAGGTCAAAGTTTAACTTTTGACTTTTTTTTTCAATATTTTGAAATAATTAATTAGTGTTTTTGTGTTGTACAACCACCAACTTGTTAATATAATTGCATACCCTCCATCATTTGGAACGAATTTGGCAATTCTCAAAAACTATAAAATCCGTTAAAAATTCGTTCAAAGTCTTAAAAATACCAAATGTAGCTGTTATATTAGGGTCTATACGACAAAATGGGCCTGCATAGGTAACATTTGTCATAAGCCATTACAATATTCATATGCGAAACTTATATAATGAAGATAAAACATCAAAATACCGAATATCGGGAGGTACCGTTATATGGGGGCTACACGAAGACGTGGACCTGCATAGACATTTTTCTGTCATAGGCTGTAGCATCCATTACGAACATCAAATACCAAATTTGAAACAATTCCACTGAATAATGTCGTTAAAATCATCAAAATACCGAATATGAGAAGGAACCGTTATATGGCGGCTATACGAAGACATGGACCTGCTCATACAATTTTCAGTCTTATGTTATGTTAAAATTGTTAAAATGTTCTTACATGTTTAAGTTAAGTTATAAAAAAGACATAATCAACGCCTGAAGGGCCTTTTAAATTCTCATAAAAATTACATTTATATTTTTATAAAAAACGAACTGCAATGAAAATTATTGTTCAATGGACTTCTTGAAATTCAGGATCCCCGCCCCGTGAACTGACCCAGAAGGGAAGGCTTCATCAACATGGATTAATTTCAAAATTAGACCACGTTTCCATTGAGATCGGTGGAGATCAGCATCACGGATAAAAACTAGGCTTTCAATGTTAAGAGTATGAGTCGGCAGACACCACTTCGGATTAAAGCAAGCAAATATTATCGGACCCATTGTGGCACCATTTTTCAAATTTTTTACAATTCGCCATTGCTTACGAAGATGTATCAAACGGGGTTCCAATGGTGCTGGTGTTTGTGTAGAATTGGCATAACCAAGTAAAAAGTAGTGTCAACTATAAAAATGAGTTTATGAGTCAGTCGTCGTTGAGCATTGACCGAGAGCGGACGCATCTAAGGAGCGTAGAGCATATTACATTTTAAACTTTGTATTTATTCCCAGAATTACTTTTATTTTTAAATAAAAACCATCTTGACAGAATCAGAAGTGGGATAAGAACAGAAATCTACAAGGAATTTCATCATTTTGGATAAGAATTGCAGAAAAATACTCAAAGAGCTGAGAAACTAAGGCGTCAAAGTGATGTAGTAGTGAAGAGCTCAATGCAAAGCAACAACGACGACCAAAGGAGAAACCACGCAAAGGCACCTAAACTCAAAAGTTCGAGTGAGTTTAGTGAGAGTGTGTAACGTGCTCAAAGAGAGCAAAGAAGAAAGCATCAATCAAAGGAGAATGTACAAAGGTATACTCAAAAGTGTGAGTGAGTAGGACAACGATAGTACATCAAGGAGATTGAAAGCAAGACATAAAGAGGGGAACCCCGAAGAAGAAGTTTAAAAAGGGAAAAGTTAACGTATATTTTTAGGGCGTGCGGCTTCTAAAAAAAAAGAATAGTTCTAGATTTGCTGAAGTAACGAATTAAAAAGGAAAATTCACAAGGAAAAGTATGAAGGTGAAAATAAGTTCGTTAAAGGTTGCGGAGCTAGACAAATTATTACTGGCAAGAAGCTTACCACGAACAGGAAATAAGTCCGAGAAAATTGCAAGACTCATGGCTTGCAATGGAAATGACGAAGTGGAAGTTGAAGATTCAGAGTCACAGGAGGATTTCCATGGATTTGATGAAGCTGAGACGGGTGATGATTCTTTAACAAGTCAAATGCGAGAGCTAAAGGATATAATGTTGACTCTAGCAAGAAGTGTGCAACAGTTAACAACACTTTCAACAGAAAGGGCTATTACGTCAAATGCAGGGTTAAATTCAAGGGATACAGAACAGCAAGTTCCAGCTGAAGTAATATCAAGACAATCTGGTTCCGGAACATCTGGTTGTTTAAAGGATTACATAGTAATGATACCAGACTTCGATCCAATTAAAGGAAATGTTACATCAGTCCAATTCATTGACAAGGTTGAAACGTTGCAAAGGCTTCATGGATGGTCAGATGAAACAACTTTGTTTGCAGTTCATCATAAAATGAGTGGTGTTGCTAAAATGTGGATAGATGCTTTACCAGTGGTTGAAACATGGAAAGAGTTCAGACAACAATTTTTAAAGGATTTCCCAAGTCGAGTAAGTGTTGCTGACATTCATCGTGAACTTATAGCTAGGAAACGAAACTCGAATGAGTCTTTGGTGGAATATTATTACGCAATGTTGGCCATAGGGAAAAGAGGAAGCGTAGATGAGGCATCAATACTGTCGTACATCATAAATGGTCTCAATGATAGCAGCTTAACAAGAACACTTTTAGCTATGAACCCGCAGACATGTAGTGAATTATTAAGGTCGTTGGAGAATTTGACCATACAAACGTATGCAAGGAAGCAAACAAAGAATGACGAGGATGACAAAACCGCAAGTGTCTCAGGTGGAGCGCCAACCAAGGGAGTAAAATGTTTCAATTGTAACAGGTTTGGGCATATCTCAACTAGTTGCCCACAACCATTGAAGAAGCCGAAGTGTAGTAAATGTGCAAAGATTGGTCACGATGCATCGCAATGCAAAGGTAAAGGTACAACTGTGGCAGCAATGACAGAAGAGTCTAAGGATTACTGCCCACCGGTTATGAAAGATGTCACGGTCAATGGTAAGACATATGAAGGTTTTGTGGACACTGGAAGCGACTTTACCTTAATGCGGAAAGCTGTAGTTCCAGAGGGTTGCGATATGGAAGTAACGTCAAAAAGAATGAAAGGTTTTGGTGGATCTATTGTTGAAGTGGTGGAAATGTTTGAGGCTAACGTTGTCATCGACGAGAAGAGTTTAATGACTACCATTTATGTAGTGCCGAATGACTTGATGCGATATGACGTTCTCTTAGGAAGAGACGTATTGTGTAAGAAGCAAACAAAACTTACAATTGAGCATGGTGTCTTGAAAGTAAAGTCAACAATGCCAAGTACATTTAATGTCGGAGAAAGTCTGGATGAGCATCAAAAGGAAAAATTAGACCAAATACTGTCGTCATTCAAGGACTGTTTTGCTGAAACCCTTGAAGACCTTGGAAGGTGTAAAAATACACAAATGGAAATAAGTTTATCTACGGACAAGCCTGTAGTTGGTAAAAGATACCAAGTTCCATTTTCTCAAAGACAAATTCTGTCAGACATAATTGACAAGTTGCTTCGATGTTGTATTATTCGCCCAAGTGATTCGCCCTATGCAGCATCAGTATTGTTGGTCAAAAAGGCGAACGGTGAAAGTCGTATGTGTACGGATTATCGAGCATTAAATGAAGTCACCATCAAAAAGCAGTACTCGATGCCAGTGGTTGAAGAACAACTTTCGTTGTTATCTGGAAATAAGTATTTTACAACGTTAGACATGACATCAGGATATTACCAGATACACGTCAAGGAAGAATCCAAGAAATTCACGGCGTTTATAAAGCCAACCAGGAATACAAAGACTGCTCCGGTTATAACAGCGCTGCGAGAAGTTATGTCGATTTTCGGACAGCCACGAAGAATTGTATCGGATAAGGGAACGGCGTTCACGTCTAAAGAATTCCAACAGTTTGTGGAATACAACGGAATACAACATGTACAAACAGCAGTCCGAACACCAAGAGCCAATGGCCAAGCCGAGCGGATCAACCAGACAGTTTTGAATGCGTTGAAATGTCTAGTAGGTGATACAAAAGAATGGGACACTGAGACAACGACGATACAGTGGAGTATTAACTCGCAGCTGAATGCGACTACAAAGTTCAGTCCAAATGACTTAACATTCAACTTTAGTCTCAGAGATGTCAGTTACAATAGAATTATCCAGGCGGTTGGTGATGAAGAAAGAGAGAATTTCGATGTTAGGGTAATTCAACAGCAGGCTGTTGCTAACATCCAGAAACAAAAGGAAAAATGGAAAGCAAGATTTGACAGCCGTCATTCCAAGCCAACTCAGTACAAGGAAGGCGATTTGGTGGTGATAGACACGGTACCGCAGCCTACAGGAGAATCGCATAAGTTGGATGCGCGGTATAAAGGACCATACATCGTCACGAAAATTATCGGAAACGATCGTTATCTGGTAGAGGATCTGCCGGATTTAAGTTTGAAGCAAAGGAAATATTGCGGTGTTATGTCGACCGATCATATGAAGCCCTGGTGCTATGGTGATCCAAGTCTCGAAATCGAAGATAAAGATGAGTCTGATGATGGTTCGCCCAGGAGGGACGAAGAGTCAGGAGAGGCCGAATTGTCAACTATAAAAATGAGTTTATGAGTCAGTCGTCGTTGAGCATTGACCGAGAGCGGACGCATCTAAGGAGCGTAGAGCATATTACATTTTAAACTTTGTATTTATTCCCAGAATTACTTTTATTTTTAAATAAAAACCATCTTGACAGTAGTTTGACGTCAATGGATCAGGATCCTCAGGGCTCACAGCCAAATGAGTCAACGGCCTGGAATTAATCATGTTTTCGGCCTCAATTAGAAACGATTGTAGGGTCTCGAATTTAGGCGAATGTTCTCGTAACATCACATCAAACCTTTCTCACCATTTAACTCCTTTTCGATCCCAAAGTAATTAGTGCCGTTGTCGCTTTTGATTACCAAAGGCACACCTCTACGATTGATAAAATTCCTTATACGTAATAAACAACTATCACTAGAAAGATCGGCGGCTATGTCCAAGTGGGCAGCTCGAACCGTCAAGCAGAACGGACATGGCTTCGCTTTTCGAATTCGGCAAACCTTCCAATTACAAAAGAAACATTAATTCCCTTACTTACTCACTTACCACGCGACAATACGCTATCGTAGCCATTGCATCTTCACTCGCATCTGCAATATATGTAAATCAACTTTCCTGTTTAAAAAAAATCTTTAATAAAACGCCTTGGAATATATATAAATCGCTAGGGAACGACTTCCATACTTTTTGCATTGATATTTTCGAAGCAACCATAAAATGGCAAACAAATCCGAATGGGTCATAGATTGACATGTTCAGACGTTTTGTAGAAATCTTTGAAAAGTCTAAAATGGATTTATCAACTTTATGTAAATTCAAGCGGAAGCAGAAAATATCTGGATTTGGCAATCAGTGTATGCCCAAAATCCTTTCAACAGAATTTTTATTCAAAAAATCACAGCTATCGTTGGCTCTGCTGGCCGATTCTCCACAATTTGAATTACTCTCTTGGATTTTGAAATAATATTTCTCAACACAAAACCTCCAACACTATGAATTCTAATCACGTTTTGAAAACCGTCGACATAGTCGTTCACATCATGGCGATTAACAATTGGTGAGGTTACTCTTTCACAAACATATCGGCATTCATATTTTTTACATATTGGGATATAGTTGGCGAACAAGTTGCGCCAAATAACATTCTTAGCATAACATAAGTTTCCTCTCTTTTATTTTTATCTCCATTTCTTCAAAGAAATCGTTATCAATCTTGATTTTCTTTGGCGATTTTGACTTGATGGAACATCTTTTTTATGTCCCCACAGATGTCTATTAAAGCTTCACGAAATATAAAAAAATGTTTATGTCTGGCCCACTTAAAAGGCACTTATTCAACGACACATTGTTCACTTCGGCTGCAGCATAAAACAAAATCCTAATTCCTTTTTTTGTTCACACCAAAATGAGGTCGATATAGAACTCGTTGTGGATTTAAATGTAATTCGTTTACTTCAACTTTTCAGCAATTGCTCTTAGATATGTAGTCATTTATTTTCTCACAATATGCACTGCAATTACCACTATCCCGGGCCATTTTATTTTCCACACTGTATAAACGTTTCAATGTCATTTCATGTGAATTTGGGAATGGAGGCACGTTTAAAAGACGACCTTTATATCGTTCGTCAACTTTTCTTGTATATTTCCTTAATAATTCCATAGCTGTTTCATCATCAGTTGACAATAGTTTTGTTGTGGTTACCTTTACACCAAGCGTGTCCATATCAAAATAGTCTTGCATCATCCAGTTCATTTGTTGCAAGCAATCTCTTGTACTGTCTGCTGAAGGGGGTCCACCGGAAAACAAAGAGCGGTTTACGTCCAGTGGAACTGTTAAAAAACAATGGTGTAAACTAATGATTAATTTTGGTTTCACATTCGTGTACCCATTTTTCTAAATTACATGATTGATTGAGAAATGACAAATTTAAAGTGGTATATACACTTTTCATCACGTATCTTCTGTCTTCTCTTCCCATACCATTTATTATTAAATCCATTAATTCAGAATCCTCCGCCACTAAATGCTCATTTAACCAATCTAGGGTTAATTGTGTCTTGTTTCGATTTAGTTTCGGGTCTTTGGCAATTCCGCTGTCTTACATGGTTACATTTGCACCGTCAAAACTACGACTAGGTATTTAAATTGGTATTCCCTTTATTTTTTTTAGACCAAATTCAATCACATGATACGTAAATCGCTCTCTATTCGTTGTTCGAACAATAATTATGAAATATCTACTTGATTCCTCACAAAAAAATATTCTGAGCGAACAAACATTTTTGTTCTTTGTTCCATTCAAATCACAGAACTACAATGATCATATATTAAAGATCCAAGATAATTTATCAAAAAATAAATTAGGACATTTCAAAACTCAAAATAAAAAAAAATAATGACATTTTAAAAGTTTTCAGGAAGACTGAAAATTATGAATGAAACATACAATGTTGAATGGCGTATGTGCATTCAAACGAAAGTAAATTTTGTTTTCTCTCTCCCCGAGGTACGCTTTTTGACCACTAGTTGGAATTTCGACAAAAATTTGGAAACAAGAGAGGCAGTATTTTCAAAATTTTTGTATCGACAAAAATCTTTTTGACAAGTGACTCTCCAATCGAATTAAGAAACAGAAAAAACCCAAAATATATGTAAAATGTCAACATTAATACAAAATGTTCAAAACATGAATGAAAATTGTTGGTTTGGTGATTGGTGATTTTTTGATTTGCAACTGGTGGTCAGAACAGAATATCTTCTGGAGGGTCCTACTTATTCAAACACCGTCCAAAATGAAACAACAAAATTAACAAGTAAAAAAGCTGTGTGTTCGGTTGGGCCGAACTTTGACTATTTGGAACGAATTTGGCAATTTAAATAAAAATAAACTCCGTTAAAAATTCTTTCAAAATCATAAAAATATCGAATGTAGCCGTTATATTAGGTTCTATACGACGACATGGACCTGCATAGGCAAACCCTATCATAAAATTCCGTGAATAGTGTAGCTAAAATAATCAAAATACCGGCTATATGGGGGCTATACGAAGACGTGGAGAAAGCTTTCTGTCTTAGGATATAGTATCCATAGCGAACTTCAAATATCAAATTTTAAATAATTTCGGTGAATAATATCGGTAAAATCAACAAAATACCGAATATCGGGGATGCTGTTATATGAGGGCTATACGAAGACGTGGACACAGACAATTTTCTGTCATAGGCTGTAATATCTCTTACGAACTTCAAATACCATATTTGAAACAATTCCGGTGAATAAAGTCGTCAAAATCATCAAACTATCGATTATCGGGAGGTGCCGTCATATGGTTGCAATAAAATGTCCATGCCATTGTAATTGGCCCAGTTTGAATATCAAAAGTCTCGCAGACATAATATACATTTGAGTAAAATTTTATCAACCATCTTCATTTCGTTCGGAAGCTAGAGTGATTTCCACAGACGGACGAACATCGCTAAATCGACATAGAATTTTATGCTGATCAAGAATATATATACTTGGTGGGGTCTAAAATTTATATTTCGAGGTCTTACAAACGGAATGACAAACTTAATATACCCTCCATTCTATGGTGAAGGGTATAAAAATGAAACTTAATGAACATTTTCGTGTAAATTGTTGAATATTAAGATCGAAATATTTTGTCTAAATAATAATTATATAATTATTATCCTTTTTTAATTAATATGTATTTTCAATAAGTTGCAACAATAGGGATTCAGATCCCAGAAGATGATCGACAATCGAAATATTGGATAAAATAAAGAGAAAACAGGAAACAACTAAATAAAATAGCTTTATTGACCTTCAGCCGAATTAAGAAGGTAAAGTCATGCAATCATATCTTTACAATTTTTTCAAAATTATTCATTTGCCAACATCTCATTGTCAAAATTTATATTTTAAAATCCATTGTATGTACACAAATCAGAGGTGGAAGCCATTTTTCGAAGTAGTTAAATTTGATAAGGTAAATTACAGAAAATGTAGAGATAAATATGCTTATCTGAAATGACTTTACCTTCTTAATTTTACAATCAGTCGAACCATCATTAAACATATTAAATTGGAAAAATTTTGTCTTATAAGATGCATCAACAGAAACTTGGCCAGTTCTGTTCCGAAAAACAGTTCTTATTTTTAATTCTTGTAAAAAATGGCTTGTTTCCAAATAAAGGAATTTGAGGCGTTCAGTGAAGGTCTGTAGCCTCGTGGAGAAGACCCGAACCAGATTGGTGAATAAATGCGTGTACATTAGTCTTTTCTGACTCTGGTTTGGAAGTTGAGTCAACTTTGCGTTCGTGGAAGTTTATGTGAATAACATATTGTACATACGCTAGGAAGCGCTGGATTGATGATGAATGGTGCATTCTCAAGAAGTATTCCCCAAATGGTCGTGGGCAAACAAAGTTCTGGGATGAAAATCACTGGCGATTCTATAAAGCTAAAACTTTTGCGATTTATTTTACAATTTTTTGTTCTACAAAAAGATTAAATGTGGTTTTTACTTGGTTTAAAATTTGCTGGTTGGGGAAAATTGAAATCTTAATCCAAGGTAGTCATTTTTGTTAAGCTAAGCCGTTCTTTTTAGCAACGTAACAAATATTCGTAAATGTTAATTCTCAGCCATTTCGCAAATTCCTTCAACGATCTTTTTTTTTTTAATCTAATGGATACCTGGGATCATACAAAAAGGCGTATTTTGGATGGAAAGAAACAGAAAACATGAAAGGAAAATCAGATATTACGGATCGTTACGAGAATGAAAGGAAGCAAAAGATATTTTTCAAACAATTTAAACAAATGTCTCAATAAATGCAAGAAAAAAATTGGAGATAGAAGAAAAAACCCCGAAATATATCTAATCTGCAAATTAAAACTACATTTTTGCTACAATTGCTTGTAATCAAATAACGATAACTACAAACCTAGAACCAAGTACTATCACTACTTTGAAGGACTCTCCTTTTCACTTCATGTCTCTGGCTTGCAAGTATTGCTTTCTCACTTTGAGATCCAAATGGAACCCTAGCTTTTACATGCATGTCTGGGCTTCAGTTCAAAGACCATTCCTTCAAATCTACAACCAGAAATCACAACTTCTAAGTTTAACTCATACTCTTTGGATTGGATATAGGACTATTAATATTAAGACTTGGAACTCTGATGAAATCATTTAGATCAATTTTAACTCAAAAAACCAAATTTTGATAGACAGTTGGAGGATGGACGGATATGTGATGATTTCTGATTCAAACAATGCGAGGAATTAGGGAATTAGAGAATCATCCTGTATAAAAAAACAATGTGATGCCTCCATACTTTAATACTTAGAACTTGGTCATTTGCAGAAAATCAGTCCAAATGAAGAAGGGAATCACTATATGTCGGTTCACAGTCATAAAGCTCAACCGTCTCACAACGACATACGAAGTAAAATTTAACGCTTATAGTCCCTCATCAAAAAAGACAGTTTTAACGACATTCTGCAACAGTTTTTTATACTACGAAAATTAAAATGGATTCTATTAATACGCCTTTCATGCAGATATCACAAAAATGTATCAAAAAGCATTAGATTCACATTAAACAAAATATCATGGTGTTCTCTTTATGCAGTCACAGTATAGGATAATGAATCAATCAGTCACGTTTGGAGTTAACGGTGCACATTTAGCATTTAAAACACTTTTGAAACTAGAAAAACTATTAGCTAGTGGAATGGAATTAATCATGGGCTGAAAGGAGTTAACATCCGTTTTTGACTCTGCTGGATTTACACTTATGAAATTGGCGTAAAACAGTTACTACTACTCATTTGATCAGGCCAATAGAAAATAACCCAAATGAAGTAGTATAGTTTTGTCATAAATAGCAAAGTAATTGTATATCTCTTGTAGCTCCAATTAAAAAACTGCTGACATCCAGCCTTGAATTATGTGCGCCAGTTTTAATGTCCAAATTAGTTAATTCCATTGTATATAGTATACAAATACTCAACACAAAGCCTAACGTATGTCCGTATTCTGCCAATTTGTTTGACAGTTTTTTTTTGTTGTAGAGTTTTTTCTCTCTTGATTGTCTGCTAACATTTGTAGTAAACAACCAAAAAGAAAATAAAGTTCAAAGATTATTGACGGTTTCAAAAATAATTGTTTTTTATATAGCGAATACAATAAATATAATTTTCTGGAAATTTTATTGTCATGTTGTTAAATAAAAGTAATAACAGGAACATTTCTAGTTAAATTTAAAGACAGGATCTAGATTAATTACTCCGTATATCATAACATAAAGAATTATGTAAAGAATCCCCTGCAATCCCCCCTGCGAAATACCGAGCTTGCCCCATATATAATATATAACAACAAATAAATAGACCTATAATATCTAGAGTGGTCACAAAAACCTTCCTGGTCATTTGTTATACCTTCCTCAAACTTTATTAGAGACGTCATAGGGTTAAGGCATGAACTTCAAGTTATCATTGACGGTTTACGGAAATCCGATGACGTCCGTCACTTATGCAAGGGAGGAATTAACACCGTTTAGTAGAATCACCCTACTGTTTCGCTGGTACTCAAACATCAGTCCAGCGAACTCAACCTTCAGTGACAGTATCATATTACATTCGGCTATGGTAGTGACTTGTAGATAACACAGCAGTTGTGCACAAGTGTCGTGACAACGACGCATCGGTTAGTCGAAAGTAAAAAATCAAAAGTAGCATTTCCTTAACTGAACCCCAAGTGTGAGGCTGATAGTGTTTAAATAGAATAGTTCCGTGTAAAAAATGTCTTCGTGTTTTCCGCAAAAAATAATCGAAAGTTAGGTATTCTCAGCTTTTTAAAATTTATGATGAACTGTGTTCTTAACTTGATTAAGGTATGGCGTTCACCAGCGAAAAGCTAAAAGCAATCGTAGAATGCGAGGTAGGAGGTACGTTCGCGACGCAAAAGCAGAGCTTTAATCAACAGCGACTAGAAGTTAGGGAAGAACTCTGAAAAACAGTCATACCTACCCCTGAAGTGGAAACCTATATATAGATAAGATTAAGTATCTCGTCATGAAAAATACGATGGCAGTTCCAAGCATTACGAGGCCTTAGGCATAATGTGGAACAAAATTACGAGTTCAGTGGATATGACAATTTCATTCTTTGACACCCCTCTCAATATTAGGGGTATTATATTATAATAAATAGGTCAGATTTCACATACGCACAGTATGACACTTTTTCAATATTACGACGAAGTAGATAAGAAATTAACTCTACCTATAAATAAAATCATCTTGACATACGACAGCAAAGTAATTGCGTCTTTGAATGAGAAATATAGGGCAGAAGTAGTATGGATCTGGGGGAGGAAGTGGCAAATGCTATAAAATTTTACGACCTTAGACTTCCGTTTGCAAACCATGTATTGGAAGTTTTATACCCATCATAAATTAGTTGTGAAACAATTAGAAACAAATTTGTCTCGAGTTGTCGTTTTTCCTAATATGTTAGCGTGGAC